CTACAATAATAAAGTTAGTCACGCCAACTAATCGAATGATCAAGTTAAAACAACAACCCTATTCGTGCGTGTTTCATTTAGGACATGTGATCTAGTCGACATGGCTCCGGTAGGTCATTGACTACATGTGATCTAGTCGACATGGCTCCGGTAGGTCATTGACTACATGTGATCTAGTCGACACGCCTCCCGTAGGTCATTGACTACATGTGATCTAGTCGACATGGCTCCGGTAGGTCATTGACTACATGTGATCTAGTCGACATGGCTCCCTTAGGTCATTGGCTACATGTGATCTAGTCGACATGGCTCCCTTAGGTCATTGGCTACATGTGATCTAGTCGACATGGCTCCCTTAGGTCATTGACTACATGTGATCTAGTCGACATGGCTCCCTTAGGTCATTGACTACATGTGATCTAGTCGACATGGCTCCCTTAGGTCATTGACTACATGTGATCTAGTCGACATGGCTCCCTTAGGTCATTGACTACATGTGATCTAGTCGACATGGCTCCGGTAGGTCATTGACTACATGTGATCTAGTCGACATGGCTCCGGTAGGTCATTGACTACATGTGATCTAGTCGACATGCCTCCCGTAGGTCATTGACTACATGTGATCTAGTCGACATGGCTCCGGTAGGTCATTGACTACATGTGATCTAGTCGACATGCCTCCCGTAGGCCATTGACTACATGTGATCTAGTCGACATGGCTCCGGTAGGTCATTGACTACATGTGATCTAGTTGACATGGCTCCGGTAGGTCATTGACTACATGTGATATAGTCGACATGGCTCCGGTAGGCCATTGACTACATGTGATCTAGTCGATATGGCTCCGGTAGGCCATTGACTACATGTGATCTAGTCGACATGGCTCCGGTAAGTCATTGACTACATGTGATCTAGTCGACACGACTCCGGTAAGTCATTGACTACATGTGATCTAGTCGACATGACTCCGGTAAGTCATTGACTACATGTGATCTAGTCGACATGGCTCCGGTAAGTCATTGACTACATGTGATCTAGTCGACATGCCTCGGTAGGTCATTGAGTTGCGTAGACTTAGTTGTCATCTTTTCAGTTGGTCAAGGGACTACATGAGACTTAGTCTATGTGCCCTTTGGTACAGACTACAGGAGACCTAGTTGTCATTTTTCATTCATCATCTAGCACAGGATCCTTAATTGTCATGTGACCAGTTAGTCATTGAGAATAGAAGACGTAGCTCTCATGTTCCAGTAGGTCACAGACTACAAGTGACGTAGTTTTCTTTTGCCCACATTGTAATAGCGTACAGAAGACTGTATCATCAAATGTCCACATAATACAGGTGACGTTGTTGTAATGTGTCCAGTTCTAACATTCTACAGGTAACTTTGTTCTCATGTGTCCAGTTGTCACTTACTACAATTAACTTTGTTCTCGTGTGTTAAGTTTAATGTAAACTAAATAAAGGCAATATATCCTTCGATTTTGATGGCATTTAACGCAGCGTGACCATACAACAGCTTTTAAACATTAGGTTACAGTTAGAGCTTAATACATTCCTCATCCCTACCTTTAAAGTCTTCAAATATTTTCTAAATTCTCAATTTAAATTTTTTATAAAACCATGTTATCCAGAAATGTCACACTTTGCTACGATAATTTGTCGATTAAGCTGTAACATTAAAAAATAGTCTTTACCAGATGTAGGTTAATGTTGTTGACAGGGTAGACCCCCATGTCTGTCGTCCGAATACTGGATACTTTATAAGGCTCATTAGACTTTATAATTCCGGATGTGCGTATAATTGTATTAGCATGACTAACAACATCGCTTTGTTACAATGAGGATCAAAGTTCAAAAGAATAGATATTGTATAACAATTATAATGGGTCAGGCTGACTGGTACAACAGTGAAAGGGACCATACTGACTTCGACCATACTGAAGGTGATTATAGTGATTATGACCATACTGCCTGGGGTAATACAGTCTGAGACAATACTGCCTGTGGTAATACTGTCTGGGAACATACAGCCTGGGGTAATACTGTCTGGGACCATACTACCTGGAGTTGAAATTTCTGGAACCATACTTTCTGAGGTAATACTGTCTGAGACCATACTGCCTGGGATAATACTGTCTGGAACCATACTGCCTGGGGTAATACTGTCTGAGACCATAATGCCTGGGGTAATACTGTCTGGGACCATACTGCCTGGGTAATACTGTCTGGGACCATACTGTCCGGGGTCATACTTCCTGGGACCATACTGACCGGGATCATACTTCCTGGGACCATACTGACCGGGATCATACTTCCTGGGACCATACTGACCGGGGTCATACTTCCTGGGACCATACTGACCGGGATCATACTTCCTGGGACCATACTGACCGGGGTCATACTTCCTGGGACCATACTGACCGGGATCATACTTCCTGGGACCATACTGACCGGGATCATACTTCCTGGGACCATACTGACCGGGATCATACTTCCTGGGACCATACTGACCGGGATCATACTTCCTGGGACCATACTGACCGGGATCATACTTCCTGGGACCATACTGAC